TTTACTCCAGCGTGAGGCATTCGGGCAGAGAAATACATGAATACACAGCATGCAGGCAGAAGGGCATTTTGTGGAGGAGGGCAGGGATCTGGAGGGAGGAGGGGGGACAAGAGAGTATTGTGGGGGTGAATATGAGTGAAGTTCAGTGATTCCCATGTCACAATACAACCCTGTACTTTCAGCCCTGAGTCAATGAACGGGGTATACAGACTGGACAGAGAATTAGTCAATGCTGAAAGATGCATACTGCGTATTGTCTCCTAGATGTGGAAACTAAGAAGGCTGAATTCCCAGGAGCCCCATCGGATGCGGGGGACGCTGCTCAGAAGTTACCGCTCTGTATCTGTGACTCAGTCGGAGGCCCTGACCGAGGCCATAGCAACTTTCATCAATAACAATGATAATCATACTTTGACTGTTGCCACCATTTTCCCAGAAAGAGAAAAACGCAGTCAGGCGAAGCGGCTGAGGCGATGAAGTGAATGAAGTGACCGTTTTACAGCGTTTGTGTCCCAGACCCCAAGTTTCAAAAGCACATGTGCGTAACGACTCTGCTGTGTGAAGGATACCCAGACAGTTGAGCCCGACAGAGATGTGCTGCTCAGTGGCCCTTCCTCCTCTCTCTCCTTCCCTCCACCCTTCTGCTCTTTCACTTTCTACCCCCGCCCCCGTACCTCCTTCCTCCCATCCCTCCCACCCCCACTTTGTTTTTTGAGATCAGACCACACTATGTAGCCAAGACTGGCCTCAAACGAGCAAACCTCCTGCCTCAGCTTCCTGGGAATGTTGGAATGACAGGTGTGTGCCGTGATGTCCAGCTTTATACGCATGGATTTTTCAGAAACAGAATCGAGAGGGCTGGCATCAACCCTGCCCGCATCCGGAGAGGAGATTTTCCTGGCAGTCACACACCGAGGGCCCAGGAATGGTTCAGCCCATAAAGTACAGGGACAAGGGCCCGAGGGTCATTCTCAGCACCCACATAAAAGCTGGGTGTTAAGACCCCAGTGCCGGCAGGAGACAGCTGAAGAACCCTAGGGCTGCCTGGCCAGAGGGCTGCAGGCCAGCAATGCCTGAGGAGTGACGCCCAAGACCACCCTCTGTGCCCCACACGAATGTACACACAAGACTGCACACCTAACAATCTAAAATGATTTATTACATATTTAAAGTTAAAAAAAATTATGTGTATGAGTGTTTTGCCCACATGGATATCTGTATACTAGGTGTGTTACTGGTGCCAGAGGAGGCCAGTAGAGGGTGCTGGATCCCCTGGAACTGGAGTTACAGATAGTTGAGCCACCACGTAAGTGCTGGTTTTTGGTTTTATTTATTTACTTTTTGTTGTTGTTGCTGTTGTTTGAGACAGGGTTTCTCTGTGCAGCTCTGACTGTCCTGGAAGTTGCTCTATAGACCAGGCTGGCCTCGAACTCACAGAGATCGCCTGCTTCTGCCTCCCGAGTGCTGCGATTAAAGGTGTGCGCCACCACCTGGCTGTAGCCAGTGCTCTTAACAGCTGAGCCGCCGCTCCAGCTGTCAAATGTTAGCACATTTTAATTAATCTATTTAGTATGCATATGTGCATATATGTGTGTGTGCCGCAGCCAGGGTACAGAGGCCAGAGGATGACTTTACAGTCAGTTCTCTCCTACCACCTTGTGGGTCCTGGGGATCAAACCCAGGCTTGGCAGCAAGCACTTTACCCAAGGTGCCCTCTTATCGGCCTGAGTCCCATTTCACACTGCTCTCAGAACTCCCTCACACTCACAGGAGGGAGACTGCTGTTAACACTGTAGATGCCAACGTGCTAATGATAAGATCCAGTCAGTCACGCGAAGACTCCCAGACCCAGAAATCCACTACTGAGAATTTCCCCTACAGAACAGGCATCAAAGGATGTGGGAGTGAGTACCTTCATCTCATGCTCTGCAGGCATCTCTGTCATCAGAGATGGCTGGACCGCAAAAGGAACAAGAGATGGTTTATTCTGGAGCCAAATATGAGTGACTAGGGCTTGGCAACCCCATGGAGAGACTACATGACATTTTTCTGGTTATAGAAATAAAGAAAACAATAAATCAAGACCCCTTTAAAATATTCAGATGGGAACAGCCTGTAAGGGGGTGGGGAACCTCTGCTGTAGGTGTCGGCTTTTAGGTTGGCCAAAGCTAGTGTATGTTAATTAAACATGCGGGAGAGTTTCGCCTGTTAGTCACAAGGGTGTCGGGGCACACACGGAGGCAGGCAGTGAGGGGCTATTGAGGGAGCTAAGGGTGGCCCCATATCACCTGGTGTAGAGCCTGCAACATCCCAACTCTCCCTAGTGATGTGGTTATGATGGGCAGCCAGGCAGCTCACGGCTTTTTTCTCTGGGAATCTCAGCTCAGAATGCACCTCTTGCAGCCATCAAAAGAACCAGAGGAAACAGCCGCTCAGCCTCCCGGGGATGCTGTAGCTAGGAATGAGTCATTAAACCATGTAAAGTTGGTCATTGGCAGCAATACCCTCTCAGTAGGGTAGGCATTCAGAAGTTCTCAGTTCACACGGCAGATCAGGTTCAAGTTTATCGATGGAAACTAAACGTGGGGAGAAAGAAAAGGGAAGGACGCGAAGAACAGACATCTGTGGTGGCACATGCCTGTAATTCCAGCACTTGAGAATCTGAGGCAGGAGGATGGCTATGGGTCTGAAGCCAACCTGGGCTACATAGTGAGACCCTGTCTTAAAAAGAAAAAAAAATGAGAGATGAGAAAATAAAAGTCAGAGAAAGGAAAGAACAAGAAGAAAATAAAAAGGGAGAGGAAATGAAAGCTGAATGATCTGGAAACTCAATAAGTAAAATGGAGATGTGCGGCCAGGGTACGGTCGAGCTGCTGTGGACTGGCCTTGTGAGCTGCGGTCCTAGGCCCCTGCCTCGTCCCTGGTGCGGCAGAAGGCAGAAAGCAATACTCCGAACAGACAATATTTATGCAGGAAAAAACCAAAACACCAAAACCCCGTCCATCGAAGACGGCTCTGCAGGCACCCGTGCCGCGTCTCCGGAGGGTACAAAAGCCATGGTGTGCTCTTCAGCTGCGGAAAGGGTGTGGGACAGAGCCCTGAGCTGTTTTCCTTTTCTGTGATGAGTCACACAGAAGGGTCAGCTTTTGAAAAGCCTCGTTTAAAGACTTAGCTGGGCTTGGCCACTTAGCCAGGCATGGCGGTGGCGCACACCTCTAATCCCAGCACTCAGGAGGCAGAGGCAGGTGGGTCTCTGTGAGTTGGAGGCCAGCCTGGGCTACAGAGCAAGTTCCAGGACAGGCTCCAAAGCTACACAGAGAAACCTTGTTTCACCCCCCCCCCTCAAAAATAAATAAAAATAGAATTAAAAAGGAGGAGGAGGAGGAGAACAAAAATGGCTGCTTAGGCTGACTGGCCCCAGCCGGGACTGGTCATCTCTGTAAGAGCTGTCACCGCAGGCTTGAGGCCCCAGGCCTGGGTGTTTGCAGGGGTGCTACAGCCTTGGACTCAGCCCTCCTCAGGAGCCCTAGCTGGTGGGAGTAGAAGTTGGCAAATTTAAATTCCTTTTTGATTTTATCATCTATTTCCATTTTGATGAAATCCAGGTCACATAAAACACAGCACTGTAAGCAAAGTCTACAATCCAGTGGCCACAGAAAGCCACTGCCGCCCCCGCCGCCCCTCACAAAGCACCCTTAACTCTGGCACCCTGCCTCGATTCTTGTCTGTGTGAATCTGGACCCCAGGGACATCCCGCGAGCAGGCCGGCAGCGTGCGTCCTACTGAGTTTGACGGAGCTGGCTGTATCTGAGTGCCATTCCTCTCTACAGTTGAGTAATACCCCCAGACTGTGCTGTTCGTCAGCTTTTGCTTGTTAGTATCCTAAATCAAGCTCCTCCACAGTTGGATGTCATCGAAGGGGAAGTTTCAAAGCTGTACCTGTTGACATCATCTCGTGTGGACTCTGGAGATCCCCCACTAGAACCTCTGGCCTTATTAACCCACTGGTGCTCAAACTCTGAAAGTCAGAGCCCTTTTCCCATAACAGTTTGTTTCCACTGAGGTCATTTTTATTTCACCTAAGAACAGATCCTTTTAAGGTTTAGGTTAACTGGAGCACAGCAGAGAACAGTTTCCCTCTAACCCACTCACCATTTCCGGCTGTGAATACTTGCTCTGGTCTAAATGAACATGTTCCCAGAATCCACACATTGGCACTGGACAGCCCGTTGGATAGGACCAAGAAGTAGAGGGACTGGACAGACCTGTGTTCAGAGGTCCAGCAGCCCTGTAAACGTGTGTGTGATGGGGCCTGTCTGTAACGCCTGTCCTGGGGAGGTAGAGACAGGAGGAACTCGGGAAGCTCATCCGCCAGCCTAGCCTAACCCAATGGGCGAGCTTCCGGTTCCGGTTCCAAGAGAGAACCTGTCTCAAAATGACAACCACGTCATCTTGCAAGCAAACTGCAAGTGCTGAGAACAGAATGCAGCACACACCTGGTCTTAGGTAAAGATGTTGCTGGGGAGAGATGTCTTCCAGGCCTCTTTAACTCTTGACATTTCCAAGACCACCCCGCCCCCCAGGCCAGGCATGAAGCACAGGGAGTGAAGTTTCCAGGGTTTTCCCTCCTTTGGCCTCAGATCCCTCCCTATTCCATGGAAAAAGTTCGAGGCCCCCAGCTGGTGGTGCTATTTTGGGACACTGAGGACTCTTTGGAGGAGGGGCCTAGCTCTGACCTATCACAGGGGGGCTTTGCTCCCTTCCCACCCTGAGGCTGTCCTCAGTCGTCAGAGGGGGAGGGGAGGAGGAGGAGGAATAAAATTTTAAAAAGGATATGAAGCTGGGAGGGAGATGGGGTGATGGGAGGGGGAAGATGGACGGAAGTACCAGCCGATGAATATGTGTACTATACATTTATAAATATGTAGAATTTGCAATGAATAAAAATTACTATTCACAAAATAAGAGCACAATTTAAAAGCCCCACAATCCATCCAGGAGTTGTGGTCAGGGGTATACCCAGTGAACGCCGAAGAAAGTCTCGTCAGCGTTGCGGGAGGGCAGCAGAGGCAGGGTGAGGTTGGTGCAGAGGATATCCCCGATGGCCAGGCGAGTCAGGCGCTGGGATGCCACGGTGCAGCTCTGTCCAAAGTGCAGGCGCAGCAGGCTGATGCTGTGGCCAGCGGGGGAGCAGATGCTCACAGTCACGGTGGCCCTGGGCTGCACGGTGCTGCATGCCACAGAGCAGTTGGCCAGTGTCACTTGGATATGCAGCCTGTAGATGCCATCACGATGGATATACAGCTGCCCCTTCTCCAGCCCTGGTCCATGAGTGAAGGATCTTCCCAAGGTTGGACCGGCCTCCCAGTGCAGTGTAAGGTCCTTCCGAGGAACTGGGGGCAAAAGGTGAAGGGGATGAGAACCGAGGCTAGACAGACAGTGGGATTTAGAACCGGGACTGATGTGGAGGCAGAGAGGTGAAGAACTTGAAGGGAGGAGAAGAAAAAGAGAAGAGAGATGGATGGATGGGCACACACAATGCCGGGGAGGCAGAGAGACGGAGAAAAGAGGATAGAGGTGAGAGAGAATGAGAGATGCAGAGAGAGCGATATGGAAACATATGGTGCAGAGAGGGAGAGATGGACACACGCACATCAGAGAGATGCAAATACACGCGTATGGAAAGACAGATGGACAGAGGAGAGAGAGAACCAGAGAGACATGGTGCAGGGGACGCCTAGGACTCTGTGGCACCTTCCCCCGCCCACCCCCCTGTGCTGCTCTGATGCCTGGGAGTTGCCTCTGGGTCCCACCAAATTCCAGTCCTTCTTGCTCCCTCTCCAATAATACCCTGGGCCCAGCTCAGAGGACCGCAAGGGTTTGGGCCAGCATGGCCACGTTGCCTGGGTGAGGGGAAACTGGTCATGGGCTGGACACATGTCACGCCTTCTACCGGGATGAAGAAGGGACCTAGCAAAGTCCCTCGTTAACTATCCTTGTGATGGCTCCTTAGATGGTCAGCTGAGGTCTAGAATCACAGTGGAAACAAATCTGTCACCAGTTATACAGATGATGGTAACTGAGGTGGGAAGACACACCCCGAAGATGGGAGGCACCATGCCATGTGGAGGAATACAAAGGAAAAAGTGCTGAACGCTCATCTCTCTACTTCCTGACAGGATGTGAAGTGTCTGTTGGTCTCAGCCTCCCCCTCCAGGATGGACTACAGCCTCCAGCTGCCAGGCTAGCTGGCAGAAGTCGGTCCTCCCTTAGGTTGCTTTCGTCTGTTACTTGGTTTGTTATTTTGTTCCAGCAACGAAAAAAGTCATGAGACTGTTGATACAAAGACCTTGATTGCCAATCAGAGCAGCTAACTGGGGTGGGGGGGGTAGGGGGTGGGAGGGTGGGAGGGAGGGAGGGAGGGAGGGAGAGAGAGAGAGAGGGAGGGAGGGAGGGAGAGGGAGAGAGAGAGAGAGAGAGAGGGAGGGAGGGAGGATCCCTTTAATTAGTTATTGATTTTGAGATGAGATCTTGCTATACAGGGTACCCTCAAATTCACGATGTTCCTGCCTCAGGCTGCTGAGTACTAGAATGACGACTGTGCCAGCCTGCCCAGACAGGACGGATTTATTAAAGTAATGGTTAGTTGGTTATTAGTATCAAGGTCCACAGTACTTAAGTACTAATGTTACTACCAGATGTTTTTAAATTTTGAGACAAAATCTTGCTTGTAGCCTGAGCTGGCCCAGCACTTGCAATGCCCCTGCCCCAGACTCCTGAGGGCTTGAATGCCAGATGTGCATCACCATACCCCATAGGGCCTAACTTTGAAGGACAGATCCAATCCTAGCATGCCACAAGTACTATTTCGGCTTAATTTGCTTTGCCTAGTCTTCAGCACTTGTGTTTTCCTTGGCTTGTTTGTAGGAGTGCCACGGAACCCAGAATCTCCCAGATGTTTTGGAAGTACTCTGCCACTAAGTGACATCCCCAACCCCTCACTGGGGGATTCTAGGCGGGGCTCCACCCTCACCACGCCCCCAGCCCCTCACTGGGGGATTCTAGGCGGGGCTCCACCCTGGCCACGCCTCCCCTGCCCCTTTCACTAAGACGCAGCCTTCTGATACACAAGCTACATACAACAGGTGCGGAGAAAACAAAGGGCTGTGAGTAGCTGGATCATCATAGCTGCTTGTGTTGTGTCTGAACTTTGTGAGGAAAGGAGAGGATGACTGAGGTGGTGTGTTCCTGGAATCATGCGTCCCCATCTTAGGAGCCTCTCTCTACCTCCTTTTACTCTCTCTCCCTTTCTCAATTTCTTATGAGACACGGACTCTTATAGTCAAGACTGGCCTTGAACTCGATGACCTTGAATTCCTGTTCCTCCTGCTTGTGCCTCCTTGTGCTGGGATGGCAGTGTGCACCACCAACCACATCTGGTTTACGTGGTGCTGGGCTGGTGAGCCAGGCAGCGCTGTAACCACTGAGTCACATCCCATACTGCTTTCTTTCTTTCCTCCCCCCCCCCCCCCAGATGATCCCAGGCTGGCTTCAAACTCCCAGTGTAGCAGAGGATGACATCGAACTCCTAACCCTCCTGCCTCTGTTGCCCAAATGCTGGGATGACAAGTGTGGACCAGCAGTGTGGCTTATGTGGTGCCGAGGATGGAACCCAGGGCCTCCTGGGTGCTGGGTGCTGGTTCTACCGACTCAGGCTGAGCCAGGGGCCACTCCTTTCCTATGTTCCCTCCCTCCTTCCCTCCCTCCCTCCCTCCCTTCATCCCTCCCTCCCTCTTTCTCTGCTTCCCTCTCTCCTTCCCTCCCTCCCTCATTCCCTCTCTCCCTCATTCCCTCTCTCCCTCACTCCTTCTTGTCCCCACCTCCCACCCCACTGGATTTCCAGCCTTACCTGTGAGATTCAGCTGTAACTCAGCTAAATGCGCCTGGAAAAAAAAAATACCGGAAAACAGAGAAAGCTCATGAGCGCCCACGGCTGGAGAGACTCTCGGGGTTCCCTGTGTGCCTGCTTGCTGCCCTCCATGCTACATTCCCACCGGCCTATTTTGCTAGTTTTTCGTTGTTAAGTCTTATCCAGACCCCTGCGAAGTTGCAGTTACAAGATCGCTGAAAAAAATCACTGGTTTGCTTTCCTGGAACCGGGGTCGGGTGGGGGGCTCAGGCCATCCTTCCCACCACTTGTGGGACCTTTCAGCCCTGGGAAGCTCCCCCCCCCCCCCCCCCCCCGCACTAGTGAGGTTCCCAGCAGCATCGGCGCCTCCCCGGGCGTGGTGGGGGAACGCCGGCAGCCCGGCTGGGTCATCCCGGCCGCTCAAAGCTGCATCTTTCCCAGCCCGGGATCCCCCATGTGTTCTCAGGCAGCAGGGACCGGCCTGGCCTCCCTCCTCAGCCTCTCCTGTCTTCTGTCTATCTCACCTTCCTCTTTTCGACCCATTTCGTTCCGATTTTGCCTCTTTTTCGTGTCCTTTGCTTGCGCTCCTGCGCATCCTTCCCGAGCCTGTCCGTCCCCTCCAGAGTACTTGAGTTCCTACCTCCCCTCCTCCCACTTCTCGCCCCCTCTCACCTCAAGTGGCTCCAGCTGCGTCTGCTGCTGCCTCCGGAAGAGGACACAGTAGATCAAACAGGAGATGAAAAGAATCACCACCATCAGGAGGCCAAAGCGCAGGAAGGTGTTCCAGCTCGGGCGTAACAGCACCCAGGGGCAAGGGCGACCTTCCTCCACCATCCTTGCTAGCGGGCGCTGCATCCTCTGATGGCGACGAAGGCCAGAAGGCAGCAGGAAGCTGCAGCCTCCTCACTTGAGCTTTTGTGGCCTGCCTTGACCTGCCCTTAGAACGGGGATGTCCGACGCAGGGGAAGAACTGGGTCTCTTCACAGTGATAGGGAAATCCCCCGGAGCTTGTGGCACCCCCTGCCATCTTACAGACAGGCCCGCCCCCAGCTTGTCCCTCAGGCACAAAACATTCTGTACCCAGACCCTGGTGTTCATTCATCCATCCATTCATTCATTCATTCATTCAACAAACCGTTTATTGAGTATCTATTAGTGTTTCAGTACTGGGCTGGGTTGCTAGGAAATTAGGAAGCGTCTGCATCCAGGGATCCCCCGTGCTCCCCCAAATATTTGGACAAGACTGTAGACACTTCCATGCGGGCCCTTATAAGCATCTCACATGGGAATTCACTATATAGCCCAGGCTGGCCTAGAACTTGTCATGTTGCCCAGAGTTGCCTGCATCTCCTCAAGTAGCCCAGGCAGATGTGAAACTTGTAGCCCAGGGTGGCCTCTGACTCATCCTTCTGACTTTGGGTGTGAGTCACCACACCTGACTTGTCCTGATGGCTAGCTTATTCAATAGCTACTGGCCCCTCCGTTCGTGTCCCTCGGAAGCTGAGAACATAACCCTATTTGAAAGGAGACACAACTGTTGCATTCATGAATTTACTGCAGTTGTGATTATCAGCCCAAGATGGCCCAGCAAGGTTCATCACGGACGTGGGGAGGGGCCTGAGACCCCTCTTCTTCCTGTGGCTTTCAGGTAAGTTGTCGCTGCTCCAGGAAAACAGGGTCCCACCCACGACACAGAGCAGCTGATAGTTCACTTAGAGCTAGCAAAGAGGCAAGAAAACCCTCCTTAGAGAGAGGGGGCTGAGCTAGGCAGGCCTGGGGCTTGTATCTCTCCTGTCCCTTCCCCTGAGCCTCCCCTGGGTGGGCACTCCAAGAGAGCATTGTGTTCTTCATGTCTGTTCTATAAGATGTCGAACACATCTACTAGCTCAAGTTTCCCTGAAGTTGAGACGTTCACTAGAGAAAAGGGCATTGGGGGGAGGTTGCCTCTGAAACAGGTTTGAGCTGACCCAGCTTAGAGGCCACCACCACTACCTTCATATCCTGTTTTGGGGGAAACTTGTTGGACAGTGGCCCCTGAATTTCAGATGTAGTCTGATTAACATGGGGCTAGAGAGATGTCTCAGTAGTTAAGATCCAGTCCCTTCCAGAGGACTCAGTTCCAAGCACCCATGTCAAGTGGTTTAGAAAGATCTAGAATTCCAGTTCCAGGAGGATTTGGTGTCTCTGGTTTCCATGGGCACCTGCACTCATGTGTACATACCCTCCCCATACACATAAATAAAATAAACAAACTGTTTAAAAAATATGAAGTGGGATGGGGAGATGGCTCAGTGGGTAAATCCTTGTTAAGCAAGTATGAGAACCCCTGAGTTTGATCTCTGAAAGTGGGGTACAGCAATACCTGCTTGTTACTGCAGCCTGCTGGGAGGTGGAGACAGGAGGACCTTGGCAGCTCAGTGCCCAGCCTAGCTGAAATGGAGAGCTCGGGGCTCAGTGAGAAACCTGGGTGCAGGGCGGGAGAGGAAAGCATTTGGTGTCAACCTCCTGCCTCTGCATGCAACTGCAGGAGGGAGTGTGCCCTGTCTCCTACACGTGCACACTTGCACATGGCGTGAAAAGACACCTGGGAAGTAGGGACTTGGGACCTGTGAAGAGCTTAGCAGGGTACAGCCACCACTCCAGAGGATGGAGTGACTCTCTCCCCCAGCCTTCAGAGGGAGTGTGGCCTCCCTGATACCTTGTTTCAGAGCCCTAACCTCTACAACAGTTTTTTAAAAAAAATCTTTAATTATGTGTATGAATGTGTGTGTGTGTGTGTGTGTGTGTGTGTGTGTGTGTGTGTGTACGCACATGCATGCACACATGAGTGCACTGCCCATGGAGGCAAAAGAAAAAAAAAAGATGGTGTTGGAGCTGGAGTTACAGGTGGTTGTGAGCTGCCAGATGTGGGTTCTTGGACCCAAACTTGGACCCTCGGCAAGAACAGCAAGTACCTGTAATTGCTAAGTCATTTCTTCAGCTCCATTTTGGGGACTTTAAGCCATCTGATGTGTGGGCTGTTTTCACGATAGGGTTTCTATTACTGTGATGAACACCAGGACCAAAACAACTTGGAGAGGGATGGGTTAATTTCACCTTCCAGTTCCTCATCACTGAAGGAAGGCAGGGCAGGACTCAGGTGGGACTGAAGAGGGAGCCAAGGAAGAGTGCTGCTTACTAACTTGCTCAGTCTGCATTCTTGTACACTTAGGACCACCTGAATGGAAGTGCATAATGTGCTGGACCCTCCTGTGGGTGTTCTGGGAGGGTCCATGAAGAAAAAGGATTACTCCAAGATGACTTTGGGCTCAGCAGAGCAGCAGTGTGAACCAGCTTCTGGTGAACTGACTGCTCACTGCTTCCTTTTGTTACACATCCTAAAAAGCATCCTTATTGTTACACAATTTACACCTTTAGCAAGTGATTTCCACATATCAAAACCTCTTATCTGGAGCTGTTTGAAGGAGACTTTTGCCTAAGCAGTCCTCAGCCAGGAGACCTCCTGGCTTGCCAGGTTCTCCCATTACTAAGTTTTGCAAAAGCTCTGGAATCCTTCAGGAAGGACTCAGATAAGAATCACTGACTTGCTGGGCAGTGGTGGCGCACGCCTTTAATCCCAGCACTCAGGAGGCAGAGACAGGCGGATCTCTGTGAGTTCGAGGCCAGCCTGGTCTACAGAGCAAGTTCCAGGAAAGGCTCAAAGCTACACAGAGAAACCCTGTCATGAAAAACCAAAAAAAAAAAAAAAAAAAAGAATCACTGACTTTATTCCATTTCTTTAAGGGAGTTTTTTATTTCCTCTTTAAGGGAGTTTTTCATTTCCTCTTTAAGGGCCTCTATCATCTTCTTAAAGTCATTTTTAGGATTGATTTCTTCTGCTTCTTCTGCATTGGTATGTTCAGGTCTTGCAGGTGTAGAATCGCTAGGTTCTGATGTTGTCGTATAGGTCTTTACGTTGTTGCCTGTATTTTTGCACTGGCGTCTACTCATCTCTTCCTCTGCTTGGTGTAGGCGGTGTCTGTGTCTAAAGGTGACTCTCTTGTTCTAATTGTTAGTCTTGGTCCACTAGGAGTTTTTAGTCAAATCAGTGCTGTTGGGCTCTGTTTCTCCGGGAGCAGCTTAGTCCAGTCAGTGTTAGTGGGTTCTGTCTCAGGGAGTAGTTGTTCCCAATTGGTGCAGGGTGGGCTTATAGCTCCAGTGGTTGCTGGGTTTGCAGGGTCTGATTATTTATTTATTTATTTGTTTGTTTATTTATTTTTGGTGAGGGAGCAGGGAAAGGTAGCTGCCTGGTCCCTGGGGCTCTGATGGCTGGGGCCTAGGGGCTAGAGACCTGGTCGGCAGGTCCAGAGATGGGGCCTTACCCATTCCTAGTCGGTGTAGGGTGGGCTTATGATTCTGGTGATCTGGTTCGGTGGCTGGACGGTGCCTTCTCTTGCATTCTCGAGTCGTGTTTTGCTTGCTCGCCAACTCCCAAGCAGACTGCAGGTTTCTGAAACCTCTCCAGAATGGATCTCAGCTGAGCAGTTGATCAGTAAGGCAATCTCACTAACGCCTCCAAGTTGTTGGGGTTCGCAGGATCTGCAGCTGGGCCCGGGGTTGGCCTCGGGCAGAATGTTTGCAGAATGTTCGGTCAGTTCTGGTCTCATCCCATGGAGGTGGCCAAGAATCACTGACTTTAAACAAAAGGTAACAATCACTGACTTCAATCAAAAGGTAACAATCACTGATTTTAATCAAAAGGTAACAATCACGGACTTTAAACAAAAGGTAACAATCACTGACTTCAATCAAAGCCTGGGCGCTAACACTCTGGAATTCAAGCCAAGTGCAATGGCTCTGTGGAATCCTGTCCTGCATCTGGCCCTTCTGTTTAAGCTATAATTAGTTATGATGAAGATTATGTAGCCTTACAGTAAATACAGCCTTTTTTCCTATTGTTTTGTTTCATGATCTTAGGCAAATAAGCCAAAATACTTTTTTAAAGCCAATAAAAGTTATTACTGCTAGAACAAGAAATCTATTAAGTGATGTACAGGGTCGGACGAGGCTAACGTAACTGCAAGGCTTTCCATAACATCCGTTCCTGTCATATGAGGTAACCTTTTTGAAAAAGTTTCCTTAATTTCTTGCTGTAAGTTATAAATCATTTAGGAAGAATTAGGGTGACCCATCAAATGCATCTTTAACTTTTCCAGTCAAGCTTGCTATCATTGAACCTTAAAGGTGTAGTACAATACGCTGTAACATTCCGATCACATTTTTAATTTTATCTGCTTCTCCAATATTTCCAACTGATCTCCCATTAGTATAACAGCTTGTCTCACATCAGCTATTCCATTAACTATCTCACTGTTTTATTTTCTTGAGTCCAAAGTTCTGTAGAATGCTTGTGCCAGTCTCTAATGAACTTAGCAGTTTGATTTCTTTATGAAGGGCCAATCCAGCTGCTGTAGCAGCAGTAGCAGCCAGTGCATCAATACCCGTAACTACTGCAATAATCAGTCTAAGCATTCAATGTGTTCTTCTTAATATTCTTTCAGTGAGCTTCTGCACTACGGTCATCACAGGTGAGTCTTGCCATGGCCTTGACGACTTCACTGGCATCCATTTGCTGGCCTTGCTCTAAGAATGTATAAACTTTCAGAGGTTACATTAAAGACATACTAGAATTAACACAGGTATGAGGGTACAGTGTTCACAAGTGATGCTGTAATTATTAGGGTGCCATTGTACAGGCACTTCAGTAGCTGAATAGGTAATGGTACACATACTATAAAAGGATGGCTTTGATTTAGTCTAAATGACAAAGTTTCATCCTTAATGTTTAACTCTCC